TAACAGTAATAACGATAATAATAACAATAACAGTAATAACGATAATAATAACAACAACAATAACAGTAATAACGATAATAATAATAACAAAAAATACACTAACAACAACAACAACAAAACCACACTACCAACAACGCTTCCCTGATCTGCAAAGGCCCACAAAATTATGACACATATGATGATGATCTCCGTAACAATTTAGTATTATGATTCAAGGATAAAAACATGCCATGGTGAAGGTTACCGCTATTTTGTATACAGTCGCCACGCTCCTCTCTCTCTCTCGCCATGTCCTCTATCTCTAACTCTCTCTGTCCCCATCTCTATCTGTTTATCTATCTATCCCCATCTTTTATCTATCATATTTGTCCATATCTCTCTCTCTCTCTCTCTCTCTCTCTCTCTCTCTCTCTCTCTCTCTCTCTCTCTCTCTCTCTCTCTCTCTCTCTCTCTCTCTCTCTCTCTCTGCTCTCATCTATCTCTCTTGTCTTCCTTGTCTCCTATCGTTTTAGTTCTCTATTTAACACACTAGCTGAACAAGACGGGTGATACCTTTGATATATGGATATTATATGAAGATTTTATATTTTGGATATACCATTATGGAGTCTTTAAATAGAACAGATAAAGTGAATTAATAGATCTTTGTATTTCGTGCCACGTGGCTGTGTAGTAAACAAGCGTTCACTCCTGTTCTCCATCGTAAAGTTTACGTGTCAGTTTCTTCAACACGAATTCAATGTCAGAATTTCCTGTTTCACCATCTTTCATCCGAGCAAACTATCTCACGGCCAGGACACTTCAATGGTCTGTTCCTGTCTCATGTGGAGCCTGTATGAGCTTATGGTTATGATATTTATTGTAAGACCTTTTCAGGACTTTCAGGATGCATTTGGTAGATTCAAGGCTTTTCTTACAGGAGTTAAGATATCTCAATAAGGATAGCAAGGGGTTATTTCTGTCTGTATCCAAAGCTTGACCTTACTATGGGATCAATATGGTCGTGCTTAGGGATCCCAACATGCGATGGGATGGACACGAAATGCATAACATGGCTACAATGCTTGATACGAGTGTGCATTTAATGTGATATGATTCGCGACATTAATTCGAAGCGTTTGTGTGGGAATATTAATCCCAGGTTTTAATTCAACAGAAAAGGTATATTCCTCTGTGAACATTCCTTTTGCCATTGCTGAGTAGTAGCCAGTGCTATTCTCCTTTAATAATCTATCAGAGTAGCATATATATATATATCGTTCAGAGTTTCAAGATACTGCTATTTGCGAGGACGTGCTGTGTAAGCATATCAGGGGGTTTGGGGTCAGTATCTTTATAGCAACACAATGTCGTTTTCCATAGCATAATAGACAAATCCACTGATACTGATAGCATGGTAATTACCCTACAAGAACCTTGCGTGGTTCCAGCAGCTCTCTTAGCCTTTTTTGTAATTCCTAATGAGCTTTGTCATTGGCAGTTACTCGAAGGTACTTACATAACTTGGTACATCATTTGGCATAGATACTGTATGGGAACTGAATGCCTTGGTTATTCCAGGTGGTTATCACGCCAAATTTATTATTTTTAACTGAGGACATCTAAAATGTTTCTTTTTCTTTTCGGAAGAGGTATAAATATATATACAACCTCCACATAATATAATTCCTTCTCTCAAGGTGTTATTTCTATTTATAGAATAATGCTTACTGTTTGATACCAAGTTCAAACGATATTGCCTAGGCAGTTTTTACTCCCACGAAGAAAGAAAGATAAGTGTCTTAAATGCATCCGAATCCAGATTAATCCAGCGCGCGTTGGGTTCCAGACCTAGCCGGTTGCTCAAGGGTGCTCCATCTGTTTACAATGTCAGAAGCAAATTTAAAGATCAGGAAATATAGTTTTCAGGGCTGGCTGTGTGTGATAAACTAAGTACTCTGCAGAAGCGCTGACGGCTATATCTTGGGAGAAATCCGTAAAGTTTACGGTAGTGGTTCTCGGCTGGTGGTCAGCAGGGCTCTCTGGTGGTACTTGATGACCTTTCGGTGGTCCACAGAACATTCACTGTATATATCTACTGTGACTGGTACATATCATGGCGTATACGTAGATTCTTGATATGAAAACCGCTGGGCTGAGGGTAAGTTTTCAAAACCATTTTCTCAAGTATTTTGGATTGCCATCGTCAAATTCATGAAATTTCCAAAAAAATTCAGTGGAATAAAAACAGTCTATATAGATAAAAAGGTCGGTGATAAAAGCAGGTTATTGGAATGTTAAAATATTCGCCCAGTCGTTGAAATAAACCTTTATGCTCTGAGAAAGTGAGTTTGATTTTCAAGTTCGTGATAAAATAACACCAACTTTTTCGAATCGGCTGTAAAAGTGAAAATCCGTTATTTTTTCCTTCTATACCTCAGCTGTATATCTTTCACGATTTACTAATTCGACAAATATATTGCTTATTACTAATATAGAAACGTGTTTATATTCCCGAATT